ACCTCCACCCACGACGGCCACGCCACGACTCCCTATGGTGCTCCCTCCAGTGACGCCCGCGGCACCGAGAGAATAAGGACATTGGCATGGGGCCGACATCGCGGGGCGGGGCGTGGTGGGGCGTGGCGGGGCCATGGCGGTCCGAGGAGGCGTCGCTGGGACATCCTTCTGACGGCCTTGACGGTGGCGACGGTGGCAGCGCGGCGACCTCCCGGCCAGTGACCATGCACGTCGTGCTGCAGGCAGGAGGGGTGGTGGTGGACCCGGCCCAGCCCTGCCCGTCGCCTCGCCGTGCTATGAAAAACAATCACTGACGGCTACAATGCCCCCCCTCCCCCTTTCCCAACCCCGCGACTGCCCCATACTGCGACCCCGTTCTCATTAAATCTGACAATAGAATCGGCCGGGCGCAAGTCGATACCCCTCGCAGCCGAGCGGAACTCTCAGTTGTTCAGAGTTCCAAATAATCGAGGGCATTCACATTCACTAGTGGTGGTGGCCAGCGCTAGCGCGGCGTCATTGAGTTGGCCTCCGTTGTCCCTCCCGGACTCAATCTGCCTTTCTAGATTTTAAACAAAACTGAGCAGCTCTTCTGTGCAATATTTTACAATGTTTTCGGTGTTCAGAAAGAGGAAGATGTTGGGGGTAGATTCTACCCGGTAGAAGATGTCCCCAACACCCAAAGCAAGCATCCATTCTACAGCTAAGGGTGGTGATGACGTTTATATGGAGAGCCGAACTGCATCCCTAGCGCGAATTTGGCGGCGGAACATGCTGCACTCTTTTCGCTCCGCATCTTCGGTCCAGTCCAGGGCTCTCCTCAACTCTGCCACGCCTCCCTCGGGCTCCCGCCACGCACCGGTGCGCCAGCCGCGGAGGGGATGCAGCTGACGGAGCCGCGGAGCGTGGAGAGCGGTGCGCTCCACACTGCATGCGCAGAATGCGCACCACCAGGGACCAGGAGAACGGGCGTGGCCGGGCGGGCCTTCGGTCATGGAAGTGACCTCATCGCGCCCACTTACTACTAACTAGGCGCCGCGAGTACCGCCGCGTCCGTGGAGCTGGGAAATCTCAGGCGACGCGTACTCGTGCACCGTGCGTGGCATTGAGATGCTTTGTTTTTTGGTGGTCGGACAAAGCTCGGGCGCTTTTTCCTCCTACGCTTTAACCTTAAAGCCCCCGCATGCACTAACGAATGAAAGTTTTTCGAGTTTCGGTTGTACAAAGTTGTGAATCTATAAGGCAGGTGTCTTAAAAAGGCTTGCACATTTTTAAAAGATGTATTCTCGGTCAACGGTGCAATAATTATCTAGTCGGGTTTTCAAAAATATTTTTGGCCGGCCGCGGAACGCCCTAAGGTCAAAGCGCCGGTGTTGAGCCCTCGGGGTAAAGGGGGGAGGAGGGGTCGACACGCAATACTGCATTGCCATTCCATCCACGTGCACGTACAGTGGGGGTTAGTAGGGGAGGGGGGGGGGCAGACGGGCACGGGCGGCGTGTTTTTGGCCCGTCGCTCGCTGAAAGCGGGTGTTCTGCGCATGCGTTAATTTTAAGGATAATGACTACATAAGCGCCAGGAAGAGGTTAGTAGGGGAGGGGGGGGGGCAGACGGGCACGGGCGGCGTGTTTTTGTCCCGCCGCGCGAGGCGAGTCGTCCTCGCCGTGACGTCGTGAGGGGGGCCAGAGCAAGAGGACTCATCGACATATCTGGAGAGTGCCCGCTTATATGTCTTGCAAATAGTGCAGTTTTTGGTTTAGGTGACTTCTGCTCGTGACCGCCACAGCCAAAGAGGCCCCTCATTCTGCACTATTTGCAGATTTGTGAATAGCCCCCTGCTACCGTTCACGTCACTATGAGGCGATGACGTTAATTCGGAATACGACTTTGTCAACAAAACGAAAGGTGGACATGACGACCAATTTCAATGTAGACATGAGAAAGCTAATCGTAAAATCTAATGGCATCTGAAGAGAGGCAATTGTTACCCGACATGTGTGATTATTGTTGGCAACGACATACATTTAAATGTACAATTGTATTTCTTTGTACTTAATTATTAGCTATCTATCGTACATCTCAGATATTATTCTTCAGGAAAGGTACTCGCGGCCGCGTCTTGTTTTGGTTCTCATGTGGTGTAGTCGTCGCAGCGGCGCGGGATGGTCGACGGGTTCGGCGGGCACGCGCTGCTCACCGCTCCGTGGAGGGTAGGCAGCCCTTCGTGCCTGCACACCACTGAGGTTGAGGTCTCCCAGGCTCGACTCCCCACCCAGAAATATCCTTTCTTGATTCAAGTGTATTCGTACTCGTGTTCGCGCAAGATCAATTTTTGTTTTGGAACAATGCACAAATATAATTACAATAAAACCACTCATCTTCAAATTAGAACATTGTTCAAGAATAACTTTTTTTAGAAGTAATTATGTCTTATTTGCATCGTATATTTTGATTGTTCGAAGTGAGAAATTTCAAGTAGAAAAATATTCTTAAACCGAGAAAGAATTTTTCTGCACTCAGACCGTTACCACGTGCCCCGAAATCTTAAGGATCCAGTAATATAATAACAGGATGATTGGTAGGTGAATAAGTGTGGATTCAGAGTTCACGGGACGCAAGCGTTATTTTCACGCCAGGCGTGATTTTCACGCTTCGTAAGCTTCACGCAGCCAATCAGGGATCGACTTTCATCACGCCGGGCGTGAAAATCACGCTTTGCGTGAGAATCACGCTCGCTTTTAGGGAACTCTGAATCCACCATAAGAATACGAAACAGAAGGATAGACAACAACACAAAAAACAAACAAAAACAAACTCTTTATTAAAATAAATTTGTTTACATTGTCTTTCTTTCGGCTCGAGGTATGGTTTGTGGTACATAAATTATAATATTACACGCCTGTATTCCAGAGTGTTTGCAAAGGGCTATTCAATTACATAAAGGGCCCCTTAATAATGTATGCAGATGTAGTCGCAAAACACTAAAAAATACGCTAATAATATGGCGCTAATGTATATCACAGTGGTGCTTTTTGTGTTTTGTATGTCGTGTCAGATATTTCCCGAGTGCTGTATAGGGGAAGCGACAAAACTCAACAATTGCAGATTTTCGACAGGTTACGAGAACATTTTTCTAGGAATCAGTCTTGCTCGGTGCATCTCATCGTCCACGGCGGAGCGTCAGGGTGTCCGGCCAGTGTGGGGCGAAGTTTTGTTCCAAAGACTAAGCGCGGCTCGGTTACTCCGTCAGCCAGTAGCGCGTGGGTATCTGCCCGAACGCCTTTTGCAGGATGGGCAGAAAGACCTCTCCAAGAGCGCGACCGAGCTCCTCGCGGAGCTCACCAATTACCTCGACGGAGTTCTTGTTGAGGAACTGGTTGACGGTGCGACCTGCAACACAAGGAAGCGTTTCATCGATGTCGCAATATATGCTGCCCCCTATCGCTCTGGTAAATTAGGTTTGGGAGGTATAATGAGGGCGGACGCACCAAGCACTTTGTTTCCGTTGAAGAGGTTGTTGAGGTGGATGCGCATGTCTCCGACGGAGAAGTCCACGTGTATGTTCTTGAACCACATCACCTTCTGGCCCTCCTTTTCGGGGAAGTCGACGTCACACGTTGCCGAGCACGTGACATTACCTGCGCAAACGATGGACTGGTGAACAGGAAACGCAAAGGACCCAAGTGATTTTGTTCCTAGGTTTGCTGGCGACGAGCAAGGGCCTTACGGAGGTTGAGCCTGGCGGTGCCCTCGCCGACCAGTGGCAGCAGCAGGATCTGCCCGTCGATGATGTAGTTGGCGTCCACGCGGATAGTAGGGATATTGACCCCGAGATGATACACTTTCTTGTTAAAATCCAGCCTGCAGAGCAGTGACAGGGATCAATGACCGGCAACAACCTCCACGAAAGGCAGAGGGCTAACCCGGGCTACCCACCTCCGTTCGTGTTAAAACTAAGTTCGATACACTAACACCCTGCACATTTCTTGCGCGTTTGCAACCCCACACCCACCTGACATAGGTGGCTGTCGCGTTACTCGGCCCGTGCACATTCATGTCCCTGAATGCACCGTTGATGATGACTCCACCGTTGCCCTTCTGCAGGCCGATCCTGTCCACGAACAGCGGCTCGAACTTGTGGACGCCGAGCTCGGGTATGCCCCTGGCAAGAGCGGGGATCATGTGGTTGAAGGACTTGCGAAGGCATTCGTTGATGTTGGGGTCACTCTTCTCGCAAGTCAGAAGCCATTCGGCTGAAATTAAAAAAAAAGTCAGAATCATAATCTGGCCGTAGCTGTGCTGCATTTTTCGTTTCGACTGTGCGTAAGGCAACCGAGATGCAGGTACTTGAATTATTCGGGTCGCTATACCCGTTAAAGTATTTCTATATACTTCACACGAACTGAAACCTGTTCAACATAGTTGTGAGGCAAGTGCCGAGCCCAAGCGCTTTGTGGGCGCTGTGGTTAGGCCACCTGCTCAACACGCCTGTGAGGGCGGGAGCCGAGCCCAAACGCCTTGTGGGCGCTGCGGGTAGGCCACCTGCTCAACACGCCTGTGAGGCGGGAGCCGAGCGCAAGCGCCTTGTGGGCGCTGCGGGTAGGCCACCTGCTCAACGCGCCTGTGGTGCGGGCGCCTTTGATGAAGCCAACTTGACGCTCATGTAAGGCTGGACTGGACCGGACCGGCCCGGGCCGGCCGTGTCGGGTCGGGATGCTAGCGGGATGGCATGTTATTCAACGGTTACGTAACCCGCCGGTCCGGCCAGAGTTAGGCTGGCTGGAGGCAGAAGTCGATCGGGGCAGGGTACGCCAGGCCACGCCAGGGCATGGGGCACGGGGCACGGGGCACGAGCGCAAAGGGGGAAGTGGGCCAGTTGGTCATACTGACCTGGACCGCGTCCCTATCCGTGGATCTCTGAGGTCATTTATGTTGACCCTCAAATCCTCTCGCAAAGCGCCATACGTATGCAATGCAGTACATGATTATTTCAGTTCACACGACATAACGTGCTTCGGCACGTCACCTGTCTGTCTACTGCACCCGACGACCCGTCGAACTCCTGCGTCAGATTTCCCTCTCACTTACCGAAGTATACCCGGTGGCACAACAACACCAGAAAACTACCCGGCACTGAACCGCACGGGAAAGCAAAACTATCAACACAACACCAACTATAGAATAAACATCTCGAAAGAGACGTTCTTAAAACACGGGCATCAACTCACGCTTTTCTTTGACGAGTTTGAGGTCTTCGAAGCGGATTTTGCTTCCCGTCGAGACGGCGACGGCGCCGACCAGCAAGGCGGCAAGGACGAGGTGGCTGCGCATGTTGGCGGCGGCGGCGGCGTCGGGGTGATCGTCGGTCTGTCTGGTCCACTCGGGAGTTCCTCCTCACGCGACCCGTACCGCAGGGCGTACGGTAGGAAATGCCGCCTTAGCTCTGCGCCGCTGCACGTCCGGGGCGTGTTTGAGGGACCCGGGCCGCGCGCTGCGCCTGCACCACCGCCAGCACCACCGCCAGCACCCTCCCCTCCTGGGCCTTCCCTCGGGTCCCTCCCTCCGCCGGGCCGGGGCGTTACGTCCAGGCGCTATGCTCCTGGTTTATTACAGTTACAGGCCGGCGCAGCCCCCTGCCGCCCTGCCCCGCCCTGCCCCGCCCTGCCCCACCCTGCCCCGCCCCGCCTGCCCTCTTCTCCTGTCCGCGGCCTGTTGCTGCTCCGCTACAGCATCGCCCCCGCCGCACCCCCACCCCTCCCCGCCCCTCCCTCTGCCCCGACCCTTGGTCGGTCTCTTCCCCCCTCCCCGTAACCCCCTGCCCTGCCCCCTCCCTCCGGAGAGAAGCAAGCGCCGCCTTGCGCTGTGCTGAGCGACAAGTGGAGAAAGTGTTCGCAGGAGGAGTAGAAGAGGTGGAGCAAGATCTGGCCTGCTGGAAGCTGGGTGGAAAATTGTAAGGCATAGCGTTATAGGGCACGGCTGCACCTCTGCACGTTATTCTATGCCGGTGGTAATGATGAACGGACAGTTGGAATGGACCAATCAACTGATACAACTAACGGCGCACTAGCAGGGGCCTAACGTACACCATCACAGTGCATTGAAAATTTCTAGTACATCGTTGCAGCTTACATAATTATATTTTGTTGATTCGTATCGAGTTTTTAGACATTCGCCTAAAGACTGTCTCTACCAGAGGGCAAAGTCCCCTCCCTCTCCTCACTCGATAGAGCACAGAGCGGGCCCTCGAGTGTGTGGTTGGCTGAGTTTGCTTGAATTTATTCCGAGTTTAGATCAGGGACCATGTGACTAGAGTGGCCGGGTCAGAGTGGCGACACAGGCCGTCTCAGGACAGCACATTCAGAGTCGCCCGCCCGCCCGGGTATATCCGTTTTAACAGCCTGATGATTGAAAGCTGAATTAAAATCCTAATTAATCAACAACTGAACAAAACCGTATTGCCGGAGGCCTAGCCTGTTCCTCATTGGGTCACTGGCGCGGTGAGCTTCAAAATGATGCCAGTCAACCGGTTTGACGGCAGGAGTCCACGGGAGTCCATTGGTGCCTTACGCACCCGGCCCGGCCCGGCTGGTCGCTCGGCCCACCGCGCCGGGCCGGGCGGGCCGGTCTGCTGGCCGGGGCGTGGCCGACTATCACTTCCGAAACATTGGCGCGCGCCGTGCAAATGGGAGCGAATCGAACGTGGACTTAGTGACCATTACCGGGACGTGCTGACGCACGACGCACTTCTAGCCCCTGGACCAGTTCGGCGCGGGGCTAGCGCGTGGCGAGACGTTGTCAGCCTGCTGCACTTGCGTCGACTGTCTTCACGCCGCCCACTGGGAATATTGAACACGCCTCTTTGAGATCTGCACGCTGCGTTAAGCCAACGAACGGCTGTGCCCTGTAGGACGTGTAGGACAATGACCTTCGGAAGTCGCCCGTCACCAGCAGAGCTACGCGTCGTAGGGCGAGGCATTCCCCTTCGCACCCAACCTGCCCCGCCCG